AAGCGCTCGGATGGAAAATCTCCAAACAAGCAAGACCTGGCTGAAATCCTCCGGCGAGGACCTGTAAATCTGTTCAGCGTGACGCTGCCAGCATCCTGCGGAGCACTGGATCCAGGTGGAGAGTCCCTGGGCAGGCGGGAGAGGAGGAAGCTGTCCGCAGAAAGATGCTGAATTTATGTTACTCTCACTCCAGGAATGCGGTGAATGAACTCACAAAGCCCAGGGCAGGAATCAAGTGTGCTTCAGCCCTGACCTTGCCTGACTTTCTTCCAGGCTGAAGAGGAGATAGGGACAAGCCCTCAGCCCCACAGCTCATCTGAATTTACCACGTGCCTTTTCTTGCAACAGCTTCCCCCTCCTGAGAGCCTGCACGGCGGAAACGTGATCATCAGTGTCTTTCACCAGGTTTCAAAGCTGGCCGAGCAGGGCAAACCCTCCTGTTCAGCCCCCAGGACACGGGGAACACGCCAGCCTCCCCCCGTGGGGAGGGCAGTGCAGACCACACACGCCCCAGACGTGTTTGTATCCTGCAGATGGAGATCACGGCGGATCCCATCACTGTTGGCTCTCATAGGGTCTCCTAGAAAAGTATCGGCTAAAAAGTACATTTACAGGGAAAAAAACCCAACCAAATGGAGCTGTTAGCAAGCCAGCTAGAGAGGATCGTCATGCCCTGGCTTGTCTTTCTGCAGTGATCTCCCACTTCTCCCTCTAAAACTGCTGACAACACTTATTTTAAGTTAAAGGTGTTTTTAAGCCTGTGCCCTCTTGATGGATCAAGAAAACCAGAAGAGACGCGGGGTCCAGTTTCTGTAACTATCAAAACCCTTCCTCCTCCTGCCAGTCAAAATCCACTAGAAGATTTTATTCTTGCTCGTCCCAGACACCCCCCAGGCTCGCACACCTCCCGTACCACTACTCCGCACACCATCGGGAGCCCACGCCAGCGTCTGAGCAGGTTAACTGCCACCTCCTCCTCCAGGGCCCTACCTCCTACCTCGGCGGTGGAAAGCAGCTCCACCGTGACGCAAACTAGCCATCCGAAAGAGACTCACCGGCTTCCCGAGGTCTGGCTTGTGTAACGCTTGCACCGAGAGCCAGAGCCCGCAGCAGAGCTGGCACGGGCTCCAAATTTCCATTTCAAAGGAAATTTCAGCGTGTATTTTGCTTTACAGCTCTACAGTAGCATCCTAGTTACAGCTCACCTACCACAGCCGGAATGCGAGTTCCAGAATTGTTAGTTTTGGTCATGCTTTGCTTTTTTTCCACACTATTTCAACAGCACTGTTGCAGACAGTGTGTTGCCATCATGTTACAGCATCAAAAACAGAGATCACATGGAGCTGCTACCAACAAGCTGGTAAAATACAAAATGCAAGGTAAAAAAACCCCCAAAGTTCCAAAGTTAACTAAAAAAAAAAAAATCTGTAACAGAACAATTGTATCATGAAGTATTGTAGGAATGTTTGGATTTGTTTTGTTAGCTCCCTGCTACTTTTAAGCCTGTGAAATCGTAAGCATCGTAGCAAGCCTGGAGGCCAGCACGCTCCATCCACGTGAGCATGAAACCCAGCCTTCTCCAAGGGCTGGGAGCCGAGCCTGTGACATGTTCGCTCCCACGTCTGCAAGGCAGAAAAGCAAGGGAAGGCTGGGCATGCCAGGGACACACGGCTAAGGGAAAATATCCAAATGCCTGCAGTAAAATTTACTACGGACCGGAGACGCGCATGGTAGAAGCGACCTGCTCCGGGCAGGCAAGTTATTTCCAAACGCCAGGCTCCACACCACGGAGCTAACGCGTCCGAACGCCAGCCCAGCATCTCTCACTGCGACTCCCATGAGGATTTATCCCCTCCAACCTTGAGGGCTCTTTCGGTGGACGTAGGGGTTGGAGGGGACAATGAAATTAGTTACTGTCCCAGCTGTACAAACCTCTTTTTTTATAAGGCTCTACAGCAGGAGGGGGAATAAACAAAGGCAATCCTGGCAGCAACAGCGCGTCAGCACGCGAACGTGAATAGTTTTCAGCAGTTGTTGGTGTAGGAGAAGCTTAGTGACGGCAGCCGGCTTAACAGAGCGACAGCTCAGGCTTAGATAGGTGAGTGGTGGGACCTACCATTCCCTCAGCGCTTCCCAAGAGCCGGTATTTTTCCTTTTTTTGCCAAAGGCATCTTCCAACTCCTCCTCCCAAGCTGGACAGAAGCCAGCGAAACACAAGGCAGTGAAGTCTGCTACCACACACTGCAAAACCGCATCCACATTAAAGGATGCGCAAAGGATCCTTCAAAGTCAGGGCAGCACAGGATTTTCTCTATACTTGCCCAGACGCCTTCCCAGAGTAATCTCTGGAGCCGCTCCAAGCAAGCTCTGAGCTGTTGGAAACTGCAGGGCTGGCACCCCCAGGTGGTTACTCTGAGCTCTTCAGGTCCCAGCATTAGCTCGACCACCGATAACCAAAGTGCATCGTCCCCGGAGCTCCCCCACCGCCACGGCCCTCTGCTACGGCTGAGGCATCGGCTCCCAATCCCACTGCACAGGGGCTGAAGCCAATTTGGACACAGATTTTTTTAATGTGATCTCTTCAGATTTCATTTTTGCAACAGGAAGAAACCCCTATGAGAGCTTTCGCTCAGAGAGAAAAATCAAGTGTTACAAAACCTTCCTGCAGTTGGCAGTATTTCCTACGGACATAGGATTAATCCTACAGATCGATGGCGGCAAAGTAAAACTGCCAATGGTCTTTGGAGCAGTCCTGCACCGGTGCATGCAGCCTGCAGGCTTTCTATCTAGCGAGCCTGGTGCCCTTCCTACGTAGCACATCCCTCAGGAACGGCTCTCCCGTCCCGCTTTTAAGTTATGGATAGGAAAACGTGACCAGCAGTGTAGGACACACTTACAACATCTGCTAAGTTGCACAGCGGCCCACAGCCAGAGAGTTTAAATCTTACCACTCCCGAGCGGCGAATAAGACCGAACATTGAGCCCGCTTTGCTTATCCCAGTAAGGAGCGAAGGTAGAAATAGCGAAACGTCAGTAGGTTCGGCTGCTCACCCCAGGGATTTCACTCTCCCAGAGTCATGCCCCTGACCAGCAAGACACATGAGCCACCGCGGACAAAAGGCTCATTCAGAGCTCCAGCGCTGCATCTGCTGCGGCATTTAAAAGGAGGAGGGAGGGAGTCACAGCCTGAAGCGCTAGGAATGTTTAAACCGCGTACGAGGGGAATCAAACCATGAATGACTCTCGCCCTGCACAGCACAACGGCACTGGCAGCGCAGGGACACGCCGCAGTTATGCAAACACTTGAGAGCAGAACACAGCTCTGGGATGCGAAGGAAGGAGCGCAGAGGCGTGCGCGCCAGCCAGATGGCACCCTGAGCCTTGGCAGCCGTTTCAGAAGAGGAGACAAAAAGCAGATGTTTCACAAAAGCTCACTTTCCAGGTTTATTAAGTAAAGTTAACTGAATTGTTTTCATTTTGTGGGGATTCCTTTCCGTCTAACCCGGTGGGTTAGCAGAGTTGCACAGAATCACGGTTGGACTGTGATAACCCAAATACAACTTTGGCTCATCTCACTGCTGACACATATGGAATGACTTGGGGGTTATTACATGCTGTGTCTGCTTGAGGCAGGTACATGTACAGATCAGCACAAGTTGCAAATGATAGTTTACATCCTTTCAAAACAAAGCAGGGCATTCGGCAAATGCACTGCAATGAGGAGACATATGAAAAAGAAACTATACAGACTTGCAAATACATAAGAAGTTCAAGAGATGCAAGAAACCTCAAACACAAGAAATGTCAAGGGGGGGAAAAAAACACTTAAGTTCAGACACAATGTGTTCAAATGAAAACCCAGCTGTAATTTAAATTCCCTTCAAAATGGGAAACATACAGTAATGCAATTAAAGAGAAACCAGGTCTCGTCCTGGGAGAGATGTGTCCAAAAACACTGATGCACAAACAGGTTCAGAGTTCTAAGCAAAATGTCCCTGGGCATTGGTGTACTTGACTCTTGGAGCCAGAGCAAAGCAATTCATTACACTTGCTGGACTGCTGGGCCTACTGCTGCGTCTTGGTGGTATAACAGCACGTAGGATTCCAGATGTCAGAGAGAAGGCAGCACGCAAACTGCTGGTTACTGGGAAAAATGCCACGGGCCAGATCTCCCAGGGATTGACTAGAGTAAGGACACCTAATTCTGGTAGCCTGGCCTCCACTGCACACAAAGTCAGTGTAATGTTCTGCAAGGTTCTTCAGTTCTTAGCTCACTCCTTTCTCAGCCTGAGTTGTTTCTGTCTTGTGCATGAGCACAACTGGCCGTGCAAAATGATCCAAAAAACATAAGGGACAGGACCAAAGAAAACTGGCTGAACCTGGGGCTGGCTTTCAGCTCCTATTTCCAAATATCAGTTAAAGGTTGGAAATTTATCTACAAAAGAAATAATATAAATGAAATAAAAAATGGCACCGTCCACAAATAAAAAAAAAGAAAGAAAAGAAAAGAAAAATCTTACAACACAGCCTCGTAAAAACGGCTTTGCAACGAGAGCTCAGTCACAAAATGAAGGGTTCTAGCTCTTCGTA